AATGTCGCCCCCCTGGGGTTGGGTGGGGCCACAATGGAGGATCAAAGTCTGAAATAGAAATATATAGGAAGATTTCTTCTGATGAAGAACTGCAAAGCCATGATTAGTCATTTTGATATGGCGCCATAACTGGAGAGGACCCCTAAACGCACCCGGTTTCTCGGGATCGAAATAAAGTGAACTTAAATATTCTTGGAGTTCTTCAGATAGAGGCATTTTTTTTTATCTTAGCTGGTTTCCAAAAATTGACAACACAACAACACTGTTTCCTTTAGATCGCACAGTACGCTCCACATTTCGGGGGATAAAGAGAGATCTCGCTTCCCCTTTTTGATTTTAACATAATACCGATGTTTTCTTTTAGATACGGTCACTAAATGAGTCGCATTGATATGGCACTTTATTTTACGTTTTCCTTTCCAATTGACATTCACATTCTCTCTGATACCACACATTGAGTCGTGATTCATTTTCCACCCTATATAAACTTAATTTATACAAAAAACGATAAAGAACAGGTGTTAACATGGATCCCAACGACTTTGCTTTTAAGGTACCTTTCTGTGGTAAAACGCGATTTACATTACGAATCTTAAAAAATATTGACAAAGGGATTCTCTCAAAACCAATTAAAAAGATTGTGTATGCATATTCTCAATGGCAGCCTACGTTTCAAGAAATACGAAACTACAACCCAGCTATCATTTTTTATGAGGGACTCCCTTCCAAAGAGGATATGGCGGAATGGGCGGGGAGCGGTGAATTATTACTCATTCTAGACGATCTAGTATACAGGGTCATCCAGTCCTTTGATTATATGGAACTCTTTACCATTCATGTACATCATATGAATATATCGGTCATATTTGTTTCCACAGGGCAAGTACAGTCGAGTCATTTCTTTAATTTGTCAATATCTCGTACTTTTCAAAAATCCGAGAGATAGCTTTCAAGTGAAATACCTTGGGACTCAGCTTTACCCTAACAGAACGCCATATTTTCTCGATGCGTATGAAAAAGCGACGCAAAAACCATAGTCTTATTTATTGGTGGATCTGACCGTAAGTGGACAAAGAGATTATGCGCTGCGAACAGGGATATTTCCAGGTGACCTATTAACAGTTTACATGAGAACAAAGACATGAATGACCGTCTTCGTCGTAATTGGGCTTTTTTTTAATTTGTTAGCTACAGTACCCGCATCGTTATTCTTTACAATTCTATCGTGTCCTATCGTGCGTTTATCCTATCGTATCGTGCGTGTATCCTATCATATCGTGCGTGTATCCTATCGTATCGTGTTTTCCGTTTATCAGGTTTTGCGTTTATCGTGAAGATCGTTTATCAGGTTCTATCGTGTATCGTGTTTTGCGTTTATCGTGTGCATTCGGAAACCCTCGCTTTTTATCTTTACCTTGAGAAGAAACACCCGAGGTATCCCGAGTTCATTTTTCGTTTTGTTAATTTATTAAGGATTAATTTAACTGTTGAACAGAAACACAAATTAATACTCTAACTCTGGTATATTTGTATTCGTGACCTGTGTGTATATACATATGAATTCTCGGAAATAGCGGATAGGGCAATCCGAATAGTGGCGGAAGAAGGCGAATTAAAAAATTTTGCTCAATTTCTTCATAACTATTAATTCTTCATATTTGCAGTGTTCGACATTTTTTTTTTGTCCTGAAAGGAAAAAAATACAAATCAAATAACGCTCAATATCGAGTCGCTAAGCGAAGTACGAAACTACGGGCACTAAAGATTGCTGGTACTTCGGATAAAATCGGCAGCCTTTTGTTCATTTTCCCGCCAAACAGTCAAGATGTCATCAAGTAAGAAAATCAAACTTGCGGTTTTATTCAGAATGTATCATCGGTAAGAACAAGTCGGACAAACAACAGATACTTTAATGCAACTGTGCAAGTCCAACGAGATACTTTTAGCAAGGTTGCTTGTTTTGATGTGGGAAGCATTCAACCTTGGTGGAAGCGAGTAACGCAAGAACGCCGCTCAAACTTAGTGATGTGCATTGTACCCAGCCGCATTTACTCATCTAAAACAGAGGTGCTTATGAATTACAAGACAAGGGTAGAAGTTTGCAGAGAATTATCTTTTACATATCAGAAATCAACAACGGATGAGGACTCGGCTGCCAATGTTACAACCTAATTAAAATTAGATGTTCCGAATCTGCTACCGCTTCTCAAACATCTAACAACATCCCATTTGGGGGTTACGTCAGAGCGACCTTTCGATTATGAATAAATAAAAATTTTGGCCAGTCAGATTCAAGCTTCTGTATACAATTCTAAAATTAGTTCCACGGCTAAATCTTAACATTATTGATGCTCAGTAGACTGTCTTATGTTGAATTAAAGTAATTTTGGTATAAATTAAACGTATTGTCCGCCAATCTGGCATTCTTACCTGAATAACGCAAACGTAAATGCACAAACTATACGTCTGTAAATAATATATCCCGCACGTCACATTCATATTTATACAGTACGGTCTTTACCATGCATACTTTGTTTACTACGAAACCCCTCGGGCGTTTAGGTTGGAAGTACAGAAGGAAACGCATCCGAACTATAAGCCAAGATTTCGGAGATGGCGATTTCATCGGGTAATCGAAATGTCGCTCTGACGTGACCCCGATGTTTGAGAAGCGGTAGCGAATTCTGAACATCTCATTTTAATTAGATTGTTAGGGTCCAGTGCATTCAGCTTGTAAAACAGTTGTCATCATCCATTTATCTCGTCCCTTGTCTACAGAGTCTACTTCCATTACATGAAAAATTAGAAGAAGCTGGCTACTCTTGTGAAAGAGTATTTGCCCCATGCACTGCAGAACAAACAAGCAATTACTCCTCAAGGATTCCTGAAGTTCCTGATGGTTGAAGTGAAGAATCCCAATTTCATCTACATGGCGACTATGTCAATGACTTATCTACAAGTCCGCATTGGTCTCCGAGTGCATTAATTATAGTTGAGACGCCAAAGTAACTTTCTGTAGAGTTTTATTTTCTATCTCTCAAAAATGTAGAAATTACAACTTTTTTTTCGAAAAAATTGAAAGAAAAAAATCACCCCGAGAGCAATGTGAAGTCTTTAAATTTTAAATCACACTTGGGATAGATATAAAACTTCACGGAGTTGTAGTCAAGAACCAACAGGAACTTTCTAAAGTGTTTTATTGTCCTTCTCTCTCTGTCTCCAAAAAAAAAAAGAATTATGAATTTTATCGGCAAACATTAAAGGAGACATCAATAGTGTCTACATTTAAAGAGAATTGAACTTAATCTTGTCTCAGTTATTTCTTCACTCATCGTTAAAAGCATTCAATTCAGATATGATATGAAATTATAATATTCATGTAGCGTTCTTTTCTTTCTCTATTACATGTGATATTAATACCATTCTTAGTTTAAAAATCTTTAGTGTAATGCCCCCACAAGACAATCAGGAAAAGGCAAAGGGGATAAAACTGATAACATGGAAAAAGTGCAAGATAACGCAGGTCAACCTCAAGGAATCCAATCAGGTGATGAATGGGTTCTAATTAAAAAAGATCTACAAGAGATTAAAGATCAACTAAAAAGCACAATAAAACAGACGACATTAAATCGTTAGTCACCAGCATTGTAAAAGAATTGCTCGAAGAGCACAAAAGAGAAGCAGAAAAGAAAGAACTCTTTTATAAAGAAAAAATAGAAGAAAAAAAAACTGAGTGACAGCGTAGACAAACAAACACTTGATAATGAGACGCTCCGAGAAAAATTATGCGAAAACAAAAAAAAAAAAAAACAAAAAAAAAAACTCGCGAGCAAGAAACCAAAGTCCAAGAAGTAGAAGAACTGGCCTCTTTTGCAACAGTTAAGGCAAATTATAACGAACAAGATAGGCCGTTAAAACAATGTGAAAATATATGGAGTCAAAGAAAATAAAAACGAAAATACTTTGCAGGTTGCAAAAGAAATATTGAAAGTTAAGGGAAATGTGGACATCGACGATAATGATATTATTGCTATTCATCGCATACCGGGTAAACAAAAGGCCCCAAGACCTATCCTAATAAATTTTAAAAATGCAGACAGAAAAGCGAAAGTTATGGGTCAAAAGTCAAAGAGTCGGAGGGCATTATGAGGGTTAGGAGATGATGTGACAAGGGAAAACAGCGAACTCATCGCCAAACTTATTGAACATCCAGAGATTACATCAGCCTGGTATTTCAATGGTTCTGTGTATGCCAGTGTGGATGGAAAACGCATGAAGTTTGACATTTTAGACGACATTGATTATAGATTGAAGAACCGGAATTCTCGTGACTAACCGCTATGAACTCCGCATTTATAACTCTCTTCACGATTCCGATTTCGACAGTGAAACGAAAGACATGCCAATGATGCTACTCAAGCCACTTGACTTTTGAAAGTAAATTTTATCTGTTACACAGTTAATCTATTTTCATTTCTCATTCATGTCTGTGTTATTCTCTCCTTACTTTCCTTCTTCTGTCTCTCTTTTTCTCTATCTGATTTGCAGCCTGTTCCCAAAATCCCGTTGGATCCGTTTATTTATGTCTGTTTTTATACAAATACCCGATGGTTAAAATAATATCAGTCAATTGTCAAGGTCTTGGTGATATCGCAAAACGCAGAGATGTTTTTAACTACCTTAAGGGTTTGGTTTTGTGTGCAGCCAAGTGAAACTCGTACGAAATAAAAATCTCAATATTTTAATAAATACTTCTTGCTTACTCTTGAAAACTGACCTATGACACCTTCCATTGGAAAGCTGTCTTGATATGTATGCAGTTTAATTGTCACTTGCAGTGTCATGCAGCAATAATGTGCATATTGCACTTGCAGGACTGCACAGCTACAGGTCTAACAAAACAATAACATGACATTTGTTGTATATGTGCAGATAGTTGAACGTCATGGGTACAACTATTTGTTTCGTTCCTAACAATACTGTGCGTACTTTTTCCATAACTGTCTGTTTTTCATCAACTAGGCATGTCCGCCATGCGAAATCTGGGGGCTGCCATTCCGGTATTGAAACCAACTGACTATTTCTGTAATCTGATGTCTCTAGTACCTCGATTACACAAAGCAATTAGAGAGATATTTCGTTAAACATCTCCAGCTATTAGAATGTTTCGATCTAAATGTTTAATATTGTTTATTATAAAAGTAACATCGATGTTTACGTCATATCAGGGAATGCTCCGTCTTCGATTTTACAATGGACAGATAAATTAATACGCGCCCAGTTTTAGCAGTTCCGACTGAATTTAACGTCTGTTATTTCTTTTGCAGGTAAGGCTGTTAATTACCTTTTATCAAATAAGCATATTAATCCTACAAATGTAGGACAATGTCATATAATATTGAAAAATATTGCACGAAAATTAAGAACTATAATCACTCAGCGTAGTTTATTTCTGAGGTCTGTCATGCGATATTCGGCTAAAGTGAAAGTAGGAGCTGGTAAGTCGATTTGTTGTGTTTATTGTGAATTATGAGCCTTATCTCAGAAATACGATATAACTCCTAGTATCAGTATTACATTTTGAGTATGACAACGCCTGCGATCTAATGCACATCAATTTTAAAAAAGGTTAAACGTTATACAAAGGATCTGAGAATTTCCACGTGTTTCTTGCAGACCACAATTTGGTAGCGGGCAATATTTAAGGTTCCTCTAATAAATGTTACTATGTTTCAAAATACTAAAAGTATTCGTCATTGTATAAAAATATAGTTCAGTCAAAAACAGGGTTTCAAATATTATGAGTAGAGTAAAGAACTGAATTTTGTTTTCATTAATGAGCGATTTTTGTGTAAGATCCTTCATTGAGCCTCAGACACACCAAGTTAAATGTCCAATGACGGCTAAGTGAAGTGGCTCTACGTAGTACACATATATGGTAAATCAGATGTGTTATTTGTAAATCAAAATTTTGATATTCAAATTTTATTGCTTTTTTGTTTTACTTTTTGTAAAAGAGATGCAAGTATTATTGATTATTTATATAAATAATTTTCACATAAGTTTGTACTATGTATACAAACCATCATTTTGGACTTGGTCCTTCTGATTTGCAGATTAGTGCAGTATATGTAGTTCTCATGGGGAAAAATAAATTAAACGATAAAAATTTTCAAGGATGTCAACTTAATTTGCTTATTGCTTGATATGTAAATTGTTCAATGTTCATCAAATGAAGAGACTGCAGCAAAATTGAAAAATAGGTTTTTTTAAAGATGAAAATTGCATAAAGTATTAATAATTAATATTCTCTACTTGAAATGGTTAAGATTGAAAACTTGAATTTCTGCAACGGCATTGGTTTCATCAAAAAGGGAGTATAATAAGGGGGTCTTACCTGATCTTAAGTTACCATTGAGCATGCAGAATCAAATGCTACCAAGCATGTTTATTTTTAATTGAATGTTCATTTTATGAAAGTTTTTCATATGCTCAATTAGACTTAGGTTGTTGGTTGCACTTGTAAGGAAGAGATAAGGTGCTGGGGGTGGGGTGGGGGGTAAACCTTGGTATTGATCCATAAATACCATAATATTCTTGTAGAAACCTCTAAGATTTTTTCTATAAAATTGAAAAAAAAATGAATGTACATGTAGCCACCACTTTATCTCAAAGGTTATTATTATTTTTTTTTTTTTTGGAGGACCTGCATTTTAATGGTACAGGCAAACCTTGTTACATTGTATTTCTATCCTGATGGGACCAATAAAAAAAATTAAGAAATCTGGTATAGTTTGACACACTTGAGGTTAAAATGCTTAAAGAAAAAAAAATGCAAGAGACTTTAAATGAAATATGAAGATAACAAACAATAATCAAATTCAAATTCACATAATTTTGAGAGATGGAAGCAAAACTCTATTCTTATAATGTCTCATAGAACAAAAGTTTTAACGGACACAGTTTCAGGAAATAAATACCATTCAGTTAAAACACTGACACCCTTCAACATGTTCAACAAAGATTAATATTAATATCTAGATTTAAAAGAATTGTTTTGAACTTTTTTTCTAAAATTTATTATAACATGTTTACAGAATGCCTTGTTTCACAAAAAAGAACACTGTTCAGATATTTTCTCTGGACTGTCAATTTCTGCATTTCATAATCATGTGATACCTGTGTTGGAGCCCTCCCAAAAACCTCCCCTGTAAGGTGAGTTTTATATCCCATTGAAATGATTCTGTCAATTTAATAGACATGTGTATAAGGGTATAAGGTAGATGTTATAATCACAGTGAGCTGACTAGTCATTTCATTTTGTATGATTGGATTCAGATGTTATTCTATGTGTACAGAATGAAAGAATGTACAATTTTTATGATGAGAAATATATATGCGGTTGGATGAAAAGAAAGATTTTGTTTGAGTGAATGTTGTGTATGTGTCCATCACATTGTCTCAAGCCATGGTTGGAGTCCGCCTACAGCTCTCTCCTACCCGAGGCTGCTTGAGCGAATTAAGTATCGTTATCATGAATAATCAAACCTTATGTGTGATGTCACGTTATAACCCAATAAAAGTAATTGTTTATATTGCAGTTGACTTTAACGATAAAAAAACAAATGTTAGGTAAACAGTGACTGAAAAAAGAAGTCACATCAGAGGTTATTTTTAAATAATTGAAAACTTCAATCTCTTTTGGAAGGAACTGTTTCTGATCATCTTCTTGTAGCTTACTAACACACATGTCATCATATCAGGTTTTTAAAATTCTGCCATCAAATCCTTACCTTGTCATTTAACCTTCAGATTTTGTACTTGTTTGCTTTATTTAATTATGATCTTATATGCTTGTCTCATCTACTTCCCAAGGCAAGATGACATGACCATCACTTGGGTTTACCTTAATTGATCTTATTTACGGTTGATCTCTTTGTATACAGATTAGACTCATATATCTCTATATGGATTAAACTACTCTGATCTACACTAATTGTAAATTAAAATAAGATATATTCAGTCCAACAATCAGTGTTAACCAACATTTACAATGTGACCATCATTGCTGAGGGATGTGTAGCCTTTGACCCTGAAATTTACATGTCTGTCTTTGCATGCTTTTTACTTAGTCATGATGTAAAGATTTAACTTTCAATTCAAGTTCCCTCTTTGAGAGTGATCAACAGTATTGTTTTTTTTAGTGGTATATTATAAATTATTTATATTTAATATTTTACAGATTTCAAAGTTAAGGAGATCATTCAAATGACAGAGGTTTTGGTCCATCTTGGTTTGTCTCAACAGTTAATCTTTTGGAAAGCAGTGCTGGAGAAAATATCAGCAACATGTGAAGACTGTGATTTAGTTTCATATGATATGACTAAAGAAAGTTAATATTTTTGATTCCATGGTTGTATGAACAAATGCTTTGAACTTTCCAAACATCATTGAAAAAGAACATATGATGACCAAATAAAAATACATATTTGAACTTTCCACGAGTTTACAATAAAGAACATTTTGGGATCTTGATGCAGGATATTATTGTGTTTAGTGTTTTAGTGTTTTATATAATTTATTCATATTGTTTAGTGCATTAAGGACATACGCAACGTACCTTACCTACTGATACTTTTTCGAGATATTCTTAATTTAAGATTATAGTGCTATCAGATGTTCGTAGACAAAAAATCAGCATGCATTACCTGGGGTTTTGAAAAGATATCAATTGATGAAAATTCTTGTATAATTCAAAGAAAAATATACAAAAATTACTAAACATATATTCTAGATGTTTTGTTTATCCAAACTTGTTTTAGAAGAAGTGTACAATAACATATATAGACATTAAAATTTAGCACACAGTTCCTTTAAGTATTGGAACTCTTCAACTCCAAGGAAAAAGACAATAAAGTTCAAACTATGTTGCGTATGTCCTTAAATGCAAAAAAATGTTTTAAAGTCACTCTTGTGAAACCCATGCTAAGAACACAGGTCTCAAATATCTTAGAGAGTTATATTAGAGTTATATTGTTAGAATTGAAGCTTATTTATAAAATTATACCTTATATCTTTAAAGAAAGTTTCACAAAAAATAGTCAAACTTGCATATACTGGTTAACATGTTAAAAGAAATATAATATCCTGGAAGTGATTAAGAATAAAAAAAAAGTTCATTTATCATCCTTTTCTTTTGTTCTTCTTGGTGACTTTTTTACAATAATCAAAGACATTTACATTTTAGCTCATCTGAGCAGAGGCTCTGTTGAACTTTTCTGATCAAAGAGTCTCTGGTGTCTGTCCATCTGTCATCCATAAAAATTAAACCCTAAAATAGGGGTATCAAAGTTTGACATGGGAATAGATAGGAAAAAATTGTCCTTTAATGAACAACAAGGTAATGATTTACTCATAATGTATGCAAGCATCCTCAAGAAGTGAAGATTCAAGTTGGTCAAAATAATTGGCCTGACTTATTATTATAATAATATTAAAATATTCCCTATTTGTATTTTTTTCATTTTTTTTCTTCAAATAAATCTGAGATCAGATTTTACATATAAATTGGTAAATGCATGTATAAATGTGAAAAAAAAAACTTTAGAAAACATATAAGCCATGTTAGCCATATTGATAATGAAATATCCTCATGTTGTGGAATCAGTTTTGGATTAGACAAGGCCTTATGGCCCAGGGTGGGGCCACAATATTAGCTCAGATTTGTTTTTATGAGAATTAAGGGGGATAAGAATGTCTTAGAAATCTGAAGAACACCAAGGTGACTCAAGTGAATGTTGTGGGCCAGGCCTCTTATTTAAATTGCCCACTTCCATTATCCCTGCAGATTTTTAACATCTTATTTGGCATACTTTTTAAGGAGAAAATCATTTTTCTAACATTAATTTCCCTGTGTTTTGTACACACCATAGAGTAATATTTTAGATACATCTGGGCTTTCATATAAAGTGCTATTTTTAGATCAAAAGTGAGTCTCTTTAATTCTATTTTTAACACATTGCCATGTGGTTGGGACTACTTTCATGGCTAACATTTTCTTGTTTAACTAACAAGTATGCATTTAAAGAAATGTACCTATTGTAGTGAGTTTACATTTAAATCAAAGGTTCTTCACAAATAGTTGTAGCCACTTATTTGTTTTAACTATTTCATATTTTTTTTGGATTTTTTGGTGCACTACTAAAACCTGTGGCTGCGCAGTCCTGCAGGTGTATTGTGCACTTCATAGCTGCAAACTGCTGCAAGTGTCAATTAAGCTGCATATACCCAGAGATTGTTTTCATTATGAAGATGACATGGACCAGTTTTCAAGTGTTAGCAAGGCTTAATTTTTGAGATATTAAGGTTTTTATTTTTAGTGAGTCTCACTTGGCTGCACACAAAACCAAACCCTTAAGTCTTTAAAGTGTAATATGTATTGTTTGCAAGATACTCATTTCTCATCAGAAATGGAAAATGATATTCGAAATTTGTGGGGATACGAATGTTTTTTTTTTAGCTCATACACCACTAATTCCAGAGGAATGGCTATTTTAATAAATAACAATATTGATATCAAAGTAATCTCAGAAAAAGATGATGCAGATGTATACTTAAAACATGTATAGAAAACCATGAGGTATTGATATGTGATGTTTATGCTCCAAATACTGATAAACCTGATTTTTTTTAAAGTATACAAAATCATATAGAAGATTTGCAGTGTAGTAACATTATCTGGTGTGTAGATTTCAATTTGGTTTTGAATCCAGAGTTAGATTATTATAACTATAAAAAAGTAAATAATCCAAATGCAAGGAGCAAACTCTTAGAAATAATAGAGATTAATGGCTATGTAGATCCTTTTATACAACTTCATGAGTCACTTCGTAGATATTCATGGAGGAAAGTCTCCATTAAAGCAAATTAGGTTAGATTTTTTCCTACTGTCAGAGCCACTTTAATCAGGATTAGATACATGTACAATAGAGCCCAGTTACAGATCAGATCATTCTATCATTTCTCTCTCGTTAGTATTTAATGACTTTAAGAGGGGTCGCGGCTTGTGGAAATTCAATAACTCATTACTTTATGACGAAAAGAACTTGAACTGTATTAAGGATGTTATCTTACAGGTTAAAAGACAATATGCAATTCCAGTTTACAATTATGACAACATGCACACAGTGCCAGATGAAAATATTTTCTTTACCATAAATGAACAATTATTTTTGGAAACCTTACTATTAGAAATAAGGGATAAAACTATAAAAATAAGTACAACTCATCATTTTTTTCCTGGTGGTGTGTTTCTTTTATAAACAACCAATAACAAAAATTATTTTTTGCGGCCCACTTGACGCTTGCGTCAATATGTTTTCTGTTGATGTTGAAATGCAGTCGAGGTTGGTTTCATCAACTCTTCATCTGTTTAAAAAGACTGTATTCAACTTCAAAATCAGGGGAAAGTGCTTCAAATATTTAAAGGAGTTTCCCCTATTATTCCATTTTTAGGTCACCTGAGTCACTCAGGTGACCTATTGCTATCCGTTTCTGTCCCTCGTCGTGCGTCGTCCGTTAACGTTTGAACATGTTCAACTTCTTCTCTAGAACCGCTCAACCAATTTCAACCAATTTTGGCATATAGCTATATGGGTGACGGAGAACACAAATTGTGAATTTCATGGTCCCTGCCCCCTTGGGGCCTAAGGGGTGGGGCTAAAACCACCAAAATTGATGCAGTCTTTAAAAATCTTTTTCTTTACTCCTGGACATCAAGCAGTCAAACTGTTGGCATGATTGTAATAAGCATTGGGCGCTCTACCTAAATTATGAAATTCATGGCCCCAGGGTCAGGGGTTCTGGTGCTAGGGCGGGGCTCTATTGATTATATAGTGAAAATGCATTAATTGTTTGAAAATCTTCTTTTCTGCTCCTGGGTATTATTTAAACAAACTAAGTGCATGGTTATGACAAGCAATGATGCCTTTTCCGAAATTGTGAAATTCATTGCCCCTGGGTCAGGGGTTCTGGTGTGTGTGTGTGGGGGGGGGGGGCTCTATTGATTATAGTGAAAATGCATTAATAATTCTTTGAAAATCTTCTTCTCTTCTCCTGGGTATTATTTAAACAAACTAAGTGCATGGCTATGAAAAGCATTGATGCCTTTTCCAAAATTGTGAAACTCAAGGCCCCTGGGTCAGGGGTTCTGGTGTTTTTTTGGGGGGTGGGTGGGGGGGGGGGGGCTCTATTGATTATATAGTGAAAATACATTAGTCTTTGAAAATCTTCTTCTCAGCTCCTGGGTATTATTTTAACAAACTAAGTGCATGGTTATGACGAGCATTGCTGCCTTTTCCAAAATTGTGAAATTCATGGCTCCTGGGTCAGGGGTTTGACCCTTTTTTCAGTAACGTAATTATGCCATGTGTGTATTGTTTTGGATTAGGGTCTCTCTCCGCTTATTGCATACTTTTTTCCTTGACAAAAACTTTTTAAAGCGTTTGTAAGACTCTCTTACAGGCAGTGCCAGGGAAATCTTCAGAGCAAAAAGAATAATAGTATTTGTTCTCGACATTCGTCACAAGTCACGGGGATTGAAAATGAATTTATGAGTTCTTACTCAGTACTTGACTAATTATTTCATTAATCCTGATCATCCTACTTCTCTTGCTTTTAAGCAACAAAGCTTCTATCAGTTTATTTTATACTCTATGGATCCTTTGAATTGTTGTTTTATACTCAGGTGACCGTTAAGACCCTTGCCCCCCTTTTTGTAAATTTCTACATGCAGAATTTCTTACCAATTGGTTTTGTCTGACTTGGTAATAAGTTAACAAGAAAGAAAATTGTCATTCCTATTAAGTATTACTATTTATTATATACTTTAGGTTCATTCATGTATTAATATATTGGATCTGTTTTTAGATGAATCAGTGATGAAGAAATGACAATTTAGATTACTTGACTCTCAGAAGAATTCAGTCATACCTAGATTATGATGGCATTCCATTTCTGATTCTGCTAAAAAGATTTTGGAGTGTCATCAAGGTCCAGACAGAGATGGAAAATCTTATTTAAAAAAAGCAGAAGAGTATTGAAAATGTGGTATAGGATAAATTCATGTAGTTTGCAATAACAATTTCCTCATTTCTGTTACTTCTTCGTAGATGAAGAATGTTGAGAGTATTACTTGACCTGTTTCGTTAATATGTAAAATAATTTGCAGGCAAAATATACAATGGGTTACATAAAATGTTCATTTTTAATGTGATTATTAAGGCCAATTTTTGTAAACAAAACTTTCCTTGACCCTTCCTTACTTGGAATAACAAAATTGGTAAGGTATATAGAGGGTTTTTTTTTTATATAGTTATAGAAAAAAAACTTAATATTTCAAGTTTGGATAATTAATAATGGGACAAGAAAACTTTGAATTATTACTTTAATTTTAAAACGAAGTGTTTCCTAGTTATTAATTAAAGCTTTGATCGGGCAGGTTTTAGTCAGTCCAGCGAGGGCAAACAATTTTTTTAAAGATTGCCTTGTTTGTTTGTTCTTTAACGTCCCTCTCTACAATTTTTCACTCATATGGAGATTTCACTTGTCAGTAGAGAGCTGTAAATGTTGTCCTATACTCGGCACTTACGGCCATTGAGCAGCGAGGGATCTTTTTCGTGCCAGCACTCACTGTAACACGGGACCTCGATTTATACGATCTCATCCGAAGGACCGATCTCCACGTCACACAGTGGGATTCGAACCCGCAACGCAAGGATCAATTCCTTTCTCGCTGACTCAAGAGCAGACACTCTAACCACTGCGCCACGCGGGCGACAAGATCGCCTTGAAAGTGCATTGTAAGTGATAAAATATCGAAATTAATGGACAATTTATTTTGTAATTTTATAGTCTGATCATACGTATAGAAAGAAGCGTAGAAGGGTACAGACTAGTAAGAAAAGAGGTTGCCCTGCAAAAATTAGAATTCGGCATGTACTGTAGTTTCCAAGTTACCAAGTAAACTTTCAATAGAGTCAATATTAGGCCATAATAAAAAAAAATCATAGATTCTCATCCACGCCTGCCCCGATTTTTTTTAATTTCTATTTTCTTTGGAAGAATAAATATAATTCACTGACAACTTTTTATTTTGAAACTTATGTTTTTTTTGCTGCACTTTA